CATAGATCTCTTGACACATATTAGTTACATATACGCTATATTGCCAAAAGTATTGGTCGGCTGGCCTTTCCACACACATGAACTTTAATGGCCCCCCAGTCTTAGTCCGTAGGGTTCAATATTGAGTTGGCCCCGCCCTTTGCAGCTATAACAGCTTCAATTCTTCTGGGAAGGCCGTCCACAAGGTTTAGGAGGGTGTCTATGGGAAGGTTGGACCATTCTTCCAGAAGCACATTTGTCAGGTCAGGCACTGATGTCGGGGGAGGAGGCCTGGCTCACAGTCTCCGCTCTAATTCATCCCAAAGGTGTTCTATGGGGTTGAGGTCAGGACTCTGTGCAGGACAGTCAAGTTCCTCCACCCCAAACTGGCTCCTCCATGTCTTTATGGACTTTGCTTTGTGCACTGGTGTGCAGTCATGTTGGAACAGGAAGGGGCCATCCCCAAACTCTTCCCTCAAAGTTGGGAGCATGAAATTGTCAGAATGTCTTGGTATGCTGACGCCTTAAGAGTTCCCTTCACTGGAACTAGGGGGCCAAGCCCAACCCCTGAAGAACAACCCCACACCATAATCCCCCCTCCACCAAACTACACTTGGCACAATGCAGCCAGGCAAGTACTCATGTGACGTGGCCTACCACTTGGTGGCTGAGTTGCTGTTGTTCGCAGTTGCTTCCACTTTGTTATAATCCCACTAACAGTTGAGCGTGGAATATTTAGTAGCCAGGAAATGTCACAGATGGACTTATTACACAGGTGACAACCTATCACGGGACCACGCTTGGAGTCACTGAGCTCCTGAGAGTGACCCATTCTTTCACAAATGTTTGTAGAAGCAGTCTGCATGCCTAGGTGATGATTTTATACACCTGTGTCCATGGAGGTGATTGAAACACCTGAATCCAATAATTTGGAGGGGGGCACAATACTTTTGACAATATAGTGTGTGTGTATACTAAATGGCCAAAAAAATAGAAACCCTGACCCTGCAGCAGAGGTGGCCATGTCTTAGTCATGTGTAATCACCCAAGCAGCAAAATACACAATAACTTCTACATTTCTACCCAGGATTACCCAGAGCAGATCACCCAGTACAGAAATTCAATAACTGATCATCCAGAAGAGATCACCTAGAACACATAACCCCGAGTAGATCATTCAAACCAGACCAACCAGATCAGATTATTCAGAATAGATAACTCAGCGCAGATCATTTAGAACAGATTACTCTGGATTGTCTTACAGCATCTTCTCAGCTACTCAGATGAAGGTCCAATGATTGGTGCTGGATGGCCAGTTCCAGAATTACACACACCTGGCACTTGTGATAGAGGTGGTGCTTGCTGGATGAGTGGAGGTTATGTTGGGTTGATCAGACCATAGTGTAAATTATCAATATTCCCACAAAACAATTTTTCAGTGTAGAGACCAATGTTAGAATGGGCTGATTGCTTCTCTGCTGGCCACCACTTTTCTTCACAGGATGTACCACTGGCATGGAGTCATGGATGGAAGAGGTGATGTACTGATGATAGAGTCATGGATGGAAGAGCTGATGTACTGATGGTAGAGTCATGGATGGAAGAGCTGATGTACTAATGGCAAAGTCATGGATGCTAATGCAACATCACCTCTACCATCCATGACTACACCAGAGATATATAACTTCTCCCATACATGACTATGCCAGTGATACATCACCTCTTCCATCCATAACTATGACAGAGATACATCACCTCTCCCATCCATAAGCATGCGAGTGGTACATAATCTCTCCTATCCATGACTCTGTTGGAGATTCATCACTCACAGTCATGACTGGGAGAGGTGATGTTCCTCTACAAGAGTCATGGATGGAAGAGGTGATGTACTGCCAGCATAGTCATGGATGAGAGATGTAATGTTCCTCCAACAGAGTTATGAATGGGAGAGATGATGTTCCTCTGAAAGAGTCTTGGACGCTCAATGTGATTTACCTTCAGGAGAGTCAAGGATGGGAGAGGCAATGTACTGATGGCTGAGTCATGGATTGAAGTGGTGATATATCTCAGACAGAATCATGTAAGGGAAAGGTGATATACTTTCAACAGAGTCGTGGATGGAAGAGATCATGTACCTCAATGGGAGAAGGAATAAACTGATGAAAGAGTCATGGATGGATGTGCCTCCAGCAGGGTCATGGATATAAAAGGTGATGTACCTCTGCCAGAGTCATGGATGGGAGAGGTTATGTATCTCCTGCAGAATCATTGCTAGTAAAGGTTATGTATCTCTGTACTATATGGGAGGAAGTGATGTGCTGATTGCAGAGCCATTGATGGGAAAGATTATGTAACCCTGGTAGAGTGGTTAATTGGAACGGTGATGCACTGATTGCAGAGTCATGGATGGAAGAGTGGATGTACCTCTGGCAGAGTCCTGGATGCTAAAGGTGATATACTTCTGGTAGGATCATGATTGGAAGATGTGAAGTACTGATGGCAGAGTCACAGGTGGGAGAGGTGATGTACCCATGAGGCAAGGATAGGTGAGATGATGCACCTTCAATAAAGTCAAGAATGTTAGAGGTGATGTACTTCTAGAAAAATTGTGGATGGGACAGGTGATGTAACTCTGTCAGAGTCATGGATAGAAGAGGTGATGTACTTCTAGAAAAATTGTGGATGGGTGGGACAGGTGATGTAACTCTGGCAGAGTCATGGATAGAAGAGGTGATGTACTTCTAGAAAAATTGTGGATGGGACAGGTGATGTAACTCTGTCAGAGTCATGGATAGAAGAGGTGATGTACTTCTAGAAAAATTGTGGATGGGTGGGACAGGTGATGTAACTCTGGCAGAGTCATGGATTGAAGAGCTGATGTACTGATAGCAGAGTCATGAATGGAAAGTTGATATTCTTCTGGCAGTGTCATGGATGCAAGAGGTTATGTACTGTACCTCCAAATGAGTTTTGGATAGGAGAGGTGATAAACTGTTGGTAGAGTCAAGGGAAAGAGATGGTAATGTACCTCGAGCAGAGTCATGGATGGGAGAGGTGATATGGTCCGGGCATTGTTATGGATGGGAGAGGCGATGTACCTCCAGCAGAGTCATGGATGGGTGAGGCGATTTACCTACTGGCAGACTCTTGAATGTGAGAGGTGATGTATCTTCAGCAGAGTCATGGATGGAAAAGGCAAAGTACCTCCAAAAGAGTAATGGATGCAAAGAATGGAATAAGTGATATACCTCTGGAAATGGCATGGATGTGAGAAGTAATGTACTGTACCTCCTAAAGAGTGGTAGATGTACTGGAGTCAAGGATGAGAAATGGTGATGTGCCTCTAGCAGAATCATGGATGGGAGAAGTGATGTTCCTTTTGGATAGTCATGGATGGGAACAGGGGCGGACTGACCATTTGGAAACTCGGGCACTGCCCGAGGGCCCGGGGTCAGTAGGGGGCCCCATGAGATGCCCCTGGTACCTTTTTCATAGGCTTTTTTGAGTTTGGGCAAGGACACAGGGGCCCCATGATCCCTTATTGCCCGGGGGCCGCATGAGTTGTCAGTCCACCCCCTGATGGGAATGTTCCTCTAGGATAGTCATGGATGGGAAAGGCGATGTTCCTTTTGGATAGTCATGGATGGGAATGTTCCTCTAGGATAGTCATGGATGGGAGAGATGACAAATCCCAGGTAGAATTTACAGTCAGAACCTTTTTACTATAAAATATAAATATATTTTTGGGATAATGGTCAGTTTAAATATAAATATGGAGCACTGTGTAGGATTGCTGACTTGGCAGGATTCGTCTTTTTCTGTAATGGAAACTCAGACACTGTGAATGTTCATGTATTGTATATGAATATTTGATGAATAAACATGTACATGCAGTCTGTTATTATACTGATCTCACAAAGCAATCACGGTGTTCTTTATTTCTGAATTACAAATAACTGCTGATTCAAGTGCATGCACAGCAATATCGAATGAATCATGTTTTTGTGGTTTGTCACATGCAAATTATGGGCGTTTGATAGATTTTTCTCATTTACTCAGCATTGCAGGAACTCAGAATAAATTCACAAATTGCTGGTCAGCACATCCGTTAATAACATGGCGCTTTCCATCCGGCTAATGTGTGACAAATTACTCTTCACCCAGGACCTCTGCCAAGCATCAAGTGCATGGAAAGGGCCACACTTCATCACTTTGTTATCATTGTAGAAAAGTGAAAACCCTTTCTGTGTCTCTATCAACAAAAATTCAATATTTCCCCCATATGTGTCCTCTCCACCTGCACCTTAGCATGTTACAGCTGCACAATCAGAAGCAGGAGAAGCCTCATATCCTATAATACAATGAGAGCTCCCTCCATCCTTCTCTAGCACAGGCACCTTACTTAGGTGAGTGGCAGGCACTGGATTGGATGAATTCTCATTCATTACAGTGTATGTAGCTGGAGCTGCAATGGCTTCACTTAGCAGCACTCACACAGATTTCAATCATTCTCTATACCAACCTTTATTGACCTTTTTAATATGCAAGAACCATTGAACTACTTTTCAGGCCGTAGTGAAGCCCTGCTTATAATGACTTAATCTACAGCTCAGGGTACATTAGTGTGAAAAGTAAAGTGAATAAAGAATTAATAAAATAAAAAAAGAAGATGGGATATTTCTTTTCTGACACCAACTCTGACAATTTTTCAGCAATAGTAATGAGAAAAGATAAAAATATTAAAGGTAATTAAAAAAATTTAGACAGTGAAAATTGTAGCTTTCCCTTACATTAGCAGTTAGTGATGTGGCCCCTTAGATTGGTCAGTGGGAGAAGGGTCCCTTAAACTGGTGGTCAGTAAGAAGAATTCTTCTTATATTGGAAGTCTGAGGGAAGAATGTTCCTTACATTGGTTCTCAGTGGAAACAATGATCCTTACATTGATGGTCAGTTTGAAAAATGTTCTTTACATTGGTGCTCATTGGGAAGAATGCTCCTTACATTGGAGGTCAAAGGGAATAATGCTCCTTACATTGATGGTCAGTGGGAAGAATGCCCCTTACATTGGGGATCAATGGGAAGAATGCCCCTTACATTGGTAGACAGTGGGAAGAATGCTCCTTACATTGATGGTTAGCGGGAAGAATGCTCCTTACATTGGAGGTCAAAGGGAATAATGCTCCTTACATTGCTGGTCAGTGGGAAGAATGCCCCTTACATTTGTGGCCAGTGGGAAGAATGTCCCTTACATTGGTGGTCAGTGGGAAGAATGCTCCTTACATTGGTGGTCAGTTTTAAGAATGTTCTTTACATTGGTGCTCATTGGGAAGAATGCTCCTTACATTGGAGGTCAAAGGGAATAATGCTCCTTATATTGGAGGTCAGTGGGAAGAATGCTCCTTACATTGGAGGTCAAAGGAAAGAATGGTTCTTACATTGGAGGTCAAAGGGAATAATGCTCCTTACATTGGAGGTCAGTGGGAAGAATGCTCCTTACATTGGAGGTCAAAGGAAAGAATGGTCCTTACATTGGTAGTCAGTGGGAAGAATGACCCTTATGTTGGTTGTAAGTGTGGTGAATGCTGCATACATTGGAGGTCAGTGGGAAGAATGCCCCTTACATTGGAGGTCAGAGGGAAGAAGTTCCATAAATTGGTTCTCAGTGGGAAGAATGCTCCTTGCATTGGAGGTCAAAGGAAAGAATGGTCCTTACATTGCTAGTCAGTGGGAAGAATGACCCTTATGTTGGTTGTCAGTGTGATGAATGCTGCTTACATTGGGGTCAGTGGGAAGAATGCCCCTTACATTGGAGGTCAGAGGGAAGAAAGTTCCATAAATTGTTCTCAGTGGGAAGAATGCTCCTTACTTTGGTGGTCAATAGGAATACAGATCGCTAAAAAGATCATTGGAGTCAGTGGTATCTATTCTGAGAGTCACAAATTGCTAATTTCTCAAGGAACCCATAGTGCCCTCTGTAGGAACCCTGGTTGAGAAATGCTGCTCTATAATATATTCTGTCCAGTATTGGGAGATTATAGCCATGCACAACCATTATGCTGTGTCGGCTGTGTTTCATTCTTGTATTTAGCTGATTTCCCAGAGAAGAGCTCTTAACTGGAAGTATGGTCATCATAGACATTTTACACGACTCAATCACCCAATATCCGCATCTCTAACCCTTTATTATTTTAAGTAATGCGATGATTCCTTCTTGCAATTTCTTCCACAAGTGACCAAAAGCCCAGGCAAATCTTACTCTTCCAGCTATCACTAGCATGGGGCATATCTGATGAGGCGCTGAACAGACGCTGTCTAGTAGGTGTGCAGTGACATACTGTACAAGGATCAGCAAGATGCAACCACTGTGCAGAAACAATAATAATGTAATAAACAAATACAGTTGTACTGTAGTAGTTAATTTGTTAAATACATTCAAGATAGAGAAAACGTATATAAATATATACAGTATATATATATATATATATATATACACTGCTAAAAAAAATAAAAGTAACAATTTCTAATCAGAGAATAGCATCACGTCAGTGAAACTCCTGGGATGTTGATCTGGTCAGGTAAGTAGCAGAGGGGTTTGTTAATCAGTTTCAGCTGCTTAGTGGTAATGAAATTAACAACAGGTGCACTAGATGGGCAACAATGAGACGACCCCCAAAACAGGAATGGTTTTACAGGTGGAGGCCACTGACATTTTTTTCCCTACTCATCTTTTCTGACTATTTTCCCTAGTTTTGCACTTGGCTAGGGTCAGTGTCACTACTGGTAGCATGAGGCTATACCTGGACCCTACAGAGGTTGCACAGGCAGTCCAACGCCTCCAGGATGGCACATCAATACGTACCATTGCCAGAAGGTCTCAAGAGCATGGAGGAGATTCCAGGAGACAGGCAGTTCCTCTAAGAGAGCTGGACAGGGCTGTAGAAGGTCCTTAACCCATCAGCAGGACCGGTTTCTGCTCCTTTGTGCAAGGAGGAACAGGATGAGCACTGCCAGATCCCTACAAAATGACCTCCAGTAGGCCACTGGTGTGAATGTCTCTGACCAAACAATCAGAAACAGACTTCATGAGGGTGGCCTGAGGGCCCGACGTCCTCTAGTGGCCCCTGTGCTCACTGCCCGGCACCATAGAGCTGGATTGGCACTTGCCATTGAACACCAGAATTGGCAGGTCCCCCACTGGCGTCCTGTGCTTTTCACAGATGAGAGCAGGTTCACCCTGAGCACATGTGACAGACAGGAAAGGGTCTGGAGAAGCCGTAGAGAACGTTCTGCTGCCTGTAACATCGTTCAGCATGACTGTTTTGGTGGTGGGTCAGTGATGGTCTGGGGAGGCATCTCCATGGAGGGACACACAGACCTCTACAGACTAGACAATGGCACCCTGACTGCTATTAGGTATCGGGATGAAATCCTTGGGCCCATTGTCAGAACCTACACTGGTGCAGTGGGTCCTGGGTTCCTCCTGGTGCATGACAATGCCTGGCCTCATGTGGTGAGAGTATGCAGGCAGTTCCTGAAGGATGAAGGAATTGATACCATTGAATGGCCCCCATGCTCACCTGACCTAAATCCAACAGAACACCTCTGGGTTTTTTGGAGTGTCTTTGAAATCAGTCCTCTGTAGGTCAATAATTTTCATCAAACGATGGGGCATCCTTACATTCCTAACAGATTACCCCGTCCATGTCAGCATAGAGATCCAGCAGGAGATTTTTTCCCCCCTGAGATCTGATGGGTTTTACAAAGTGTTCCTTTCATTTTTTTTGAGCCGTGTATATATATAAAACAAAACTTTTTTTTTTTAAGCAGTAGGGAATGGTTTGGTAGTTTGTGTCCCATTGGAGAGATTTCCTGTCCTGTAGACACAACAAATCCAATCTGGGTGCAGTGTCCCCACTGGAAGATTCCGCCTTTATTCCTGTTCTGATGGCAACTTGAACGTTGCCATCAGAACAGGAATAATTGCCCGGGGGCCCCATGAGTTGTCAGTCCACCCCTGGCGGGTGGTGCCTCTGCGGGACCCACACAAATATCTTCAGCCATACCACCCACATGGAGGAATTGGGGACCCGCTGGCGGGTGCCATTGATTCTAATGGCACGCCACCCGCAGTGGAAATTGCAACCGTACTGGGAACTACAGTTGGGCTGCAATTTCCCAAGCAGTGCAGGGACTTCTTCCCTGCGTGTCCCGGTGCACAGGAGTCCATTCAAATGAATGGGCTCTGGTGCCTGCGCGACCACACAGATGTGAACAGGGGAAATGGTTTTATTGGCTGACTATTTACACAATTCCCCTTTAACATTGGAAATGTCCGCAGTCCCGTAATTGCATATCAAATTTTATGAGATGAATAAAGCCCTCCGGCTCCACCATGACACGGCGTCTGTAGCCAGCGGCTCTGATTCATCCCGGAGAAAGGAGAGCGCTCGGCCCCTTCCATTCGGCAGACAGGGATTCAGCGCGGCTCCCCCATTCTTCGATGATTAGGAGGGGGGTTTATTAGCGCACTTTATGGGGCGATGAGGGAGTTTGATGATTGTGTAACATGCAGCAATAACAATGTTATCTGGGACGTGGGAAGCAAAGCAATAACCCCGACTCTGGGTGGAGAAATTTTGATTGTAATTATACCTGACTGCAAACAATGAAATATTCAAATAATAATAATTTCCTCCCAGCTGCAGATATTAAAAAATCTTGCTGATCATCTCTATAAAGATCCTTCGGGAGTCGCATGATCGCAGACAGACTGCCATTCAGAATCATTTCTTGTTTGCCTCCAGGTCATGCAAAGTCTTTTCTCGTCTTGCATGAACCGCACACTTGAGATCTCCCCAGAGCGGCTCGATAATATTAAGGTCAGGAGACTGTGATGGCCACTCCAGAACAGGGGCGGACTGAACATTTGGAAACATGGGGCCCGGGGTCAGTAGGGGGCCCCATGAGATGCCCCTGGTACCTTTTTCATAGGCTTTTTTGAGTTTGGGCAAGGACACAGGGGCCCCATGATCGCCTATTGCATGGGGGCCCCATGAGTTGTCAGTCCGCCCCTGCTCCAGAACCTTTACCTTTTTCTGCTTGAACCATTGGAGGGTCGACTTGGCCTTATGCTGAGACTCATTGTGGTGCTGGAAAGTCCAAGAGTGTCCCATGTGCAGCTTTTTTTCAGAAGAATGCAATTTGTCTTCCAGTATTTTCTGATCACATTCTGCATTCATCTTGCAGTCAATTTTCACAAGATTCTTTTGCCTTAAGAGCTCACATGCCTTTGCAGCCACCACCATGCTTCACAGTGGGGGTGGTATTCTTGTCACTATATACCTTGTTGACCCCTCTCTAAACATAGTGCTTATGGTTGTGATTTTAAAGCTCGTCTCTTCACTCCATATTACAGTGTGCCTGAGGCATGTCAAGGTGTTGTCTGGCATGTTGTATCCGGCTGTTTTTTTTGTGGCATTGGCACAGTAAAGGCTTCTTTCTGGCAACTTGACCATGCAGCTCATTTTTATTCAAGTATTTTCATATTGTGCTCCTTAAAACAACCACGCTGTCTTTTTCCAGAGCAGCCTTTATTTCTCATGAGGTTACCTGTGGGTTTTTCTTTGTATCCTGAACAATTATTCTGGCAGTTGTGGCTGCAATTTTTCTTGCTCTACCTAACCTTGGCTTAGTATAAGGAGATCCCTGAACTTTCCACATCTTAATAAGTGATTGAACAGTACTGACTGACATATTCAAGGCTTTGGATATCATTTTATATTCTTTTCCATCTTCATATAGTTCTATTACCTTGTTACGCAGGTCTTTAGACAGTTCTTTTCTGCTCCCCATGGCTCAGTATCTAGCCTGCTCATTGCATACACTACTGCTCACATGACATAGTAAAAGGCCAATCACAGCAGCATTTTACCACGTGATCATCTGTGTCCAGTCACAGCTGACCACCATGTAAATACACTTGTCAGTTATCGGCAGTACTTAGCGTGAGGAAAGTACTGCCAGTAACCAGCAACTGTCAAAGCAGACATCAGTGCCACATATCAATGCAGCATCATCAGTGCCTCCTCATCAATGCCCATCAGTGCAGCCTATCAGCGCCTATCAGTGCTGCCTATCATCAGCACCTATCAGTGCTGCCTGTCAGTGCCCATTAGTGCTGCCTGTCAGTGCCTATCAGTGCTGCCTATCAGTGCCGCCTCATCAGTGCTGCCTATCAGTGCCACCTCATCAGTGCCCATCAGTGCTGCCTATCAGTGCCCATCAGTGCCACCTCATCAGTGCCCATCAGTGCTGCCTATCAGTGCCCATCAGTGCTGACTGTCAGTGCCCATCAGTGCAGCCTATCAGTGCCCATCAGTGTTGCCTATCAGTGCCCGTCGGTGCCGCCTCATCAGTGCCCATCAGTGCCCCTCATCAGTGCCCATCAGTGCTGCCTATCAGGCCCATCAGTGCCGCCTCATCAGTGCCCATCAGTGCTGCCTATCAGTGCCGCCCCATCAGTGCTGCCTGTCAGTGCCTATCAGTGCTGCCTATCAGCGCAGTGCAGCCTCATCAACGCACATCAGTGAAGGAGAAAAATTACCTGCTTGCAAAATGTTTTAATAGAAACCCAAACATTTTTTCAAAATTTTCACTATTCTTTCGTTTATAGTGCAAAAAATAACACCCCCCCCAGCGGTAATTAAATACCACCAAAAGAAATCTCTATGTGTGTGAAAAAAATGATAAAAATGTCATATGAGTACAGTGTTGCATGACGGCGCAATTGTCATTCAAAGTGCGACAGCGCTGAAAATTGGCCTGGGCAGGAAGGGGGTGAAAGTGCCCGGTAGGCAAGGGGTTAAA